AATAGGTGAGTGGGATATTCGTTCAATTTTCCCATGTACCCCAATTCACTGTTTAGCAAATTAACTCCAAAGCATTTTTATTTCCATGTTGCTGTTATATGGATATATAATGATTGCTTTTCATGCAAGTGTCATTTGTTATTTTCCAAAAAAAAATTTCATCGTGGTGACAGAATTGTAACGTTTGCCTTAATAAATATCAGGCAAGATATGCAAATGATTCCACCACACATCCTAGTTTAATTAGTTTACTCACATTCTTTGTCTGAGCACAATGTCGATGTAATCCTCGGATCGAGCATAATAGCCATCCGAATTCAACGCTCCCCAAAAATTAGACCACAAGGTATCCACACGTCCTATGACCGGCCCAATTATCGATCTAAGAGAAAAAGATGAATTCAGAGATTTTCAAATAAAAGTGTGATTTTGTCGGTATTTCATGACCAAGACAACATCTATATCCATTGAGTGGGGATTATACCACTACACGTTGTTATTACTGGAGCGTGAGTGAAAACTCCATACCATGTGAGAGGCACTTACGCACTTAGTTGTTTGTAACCCACCTTTTCTGAGAAATACTACACTATCGATCCTTTTCTTTGTACTTTTTATATATACCCACTGAGGAAGGATCAAGCCACATAGATATCAAGGCTATTTGAAGAAAATCTGGACTGTGTTATTTTATTATGTTAATATATATTACCTTTTTTATACTTATCTACGGTTTGTGGGGCGCAGATTGCTTTAGTATATGTCAGCAGCATTCATGATGCCTACCTGTATTTCATCCTTGTTTTAGCAGAGAAGATGGATACAGACAACTAAGAAGCCATGTATGGCCAGACAGGGTTGTGGTGTTTGTTAAAGTTGACATAGAATAGTTTAAACTGTTGTTTGCCTGTGTAGATCAAAAACAGAAATGGTAACCTACTTGTTCTGTTCAATTAGGGTTCGAAGGACAGTGGAGTTGTTCAGAACTACTTGAACATCGATACTGAAGTAATATTCACATTCGAGATTCTGGCGGCACATATCTCTGGAAAATATAATATATTAGTAGTAAGTCCCCAGATTCAGGGTTCTGTATGACAACCGCGCATAGTGGAGGCCAAAGTCAGCATTCACACTATATTCACAGATCAGAATGTCTCAGGAAAGGAGCAGAAGAGATTATTACACAAAATGTGAATTCATACAGTAAAGAAATTAGTTTTATTTGGTATAGTTAACGCAAACTCCAGTGTGGAAAATTCTACCACTCAAGTCACTGTTGTCACTCAGCATCTAAAGGATTCCAATTCTCTGTGCGCGCAAGCTGGCAAAAGCTCGCATCAAGGCAGATCAGCAAATTCATCACTGACATCAATAGGCACCAAACTAGTGATTTCGCTGCAATGTGAAGTTCTCCAGTGACCCTGCATACATTGCACACCCTATGCCAACAAAACTGCTAAATGTATCCACTTAAGGATCAATTGCATTTTATGCCATCATAACAATTTGTTCTTAAAGAATCCTACTCCAAAATGGTGAATACCCCTCTGTAGTGCTCAGAGTGCTTGTAGTTCCTTTAACAAAAGGTAACATTTAGCCATTAAATGGTTTAACTCAAATAAGGACTAAACTAAACAAAACACAACTTATTAGCTCTTTTTTTTTTTTTTTTTTAAAAACCTTCTTCAAGTATGCCCTAATTAGAGATGCAACAGTTCCTTTGTTAAAAACAAAGATCATTAAGAAAATGTATACTTTAAATGAACTTTGAATTGGGGGGAAAAGTTGCACAGTATTGTTCCTCACTTTGGCATTCCACTGTGATCCAGCACACAAGCTGCCAGTAATGTGAGACATTTCATGGTACAGTAACCTGAGAACTAATCGTGGCCTACGTGAGCTGATTTTAAACTCACATTCCATTATTGCGAGCGTCAGCCAAGCTCGTGGCTTCCTCTGGACCAATGAATTTGACTGCGTTGTATTCTGCGCCGTGATCACCTACAAATGCTGCCACATGTTTCTCGTGGTGATTCTCCTACATAACACACAGGAAAAAGAGAACAAAGACTTTAAGTGCTCAGTCACCCTGCAGGGAAACTGTCCAGACAGAGAGAGAGCCTGGAATTTAGCATATTTATTCATTCTAGACTAAGCAATCGTCAGCAGTGGACTGCAGATGCCTGGGGCAAAGCTACATATACAAAGAGGAAGTGTTACTTTCCTTAAAGTGACTGTGGAATGGAGGGAAGTGTAAAACCCACTGATCTTCACTATGAGTGCAATCAATGTCCAGATATGCTCTGCTTGAATATTTGCGCTCAGCATCTTTTCCCCCAGGAGTCCCTGTGCACGCATGCGCAGTCACGGGTCTCTCACAAGGAATTAAGGGACATTTGGAATTTACATACTTGGAGTGTGCATACGGCAGACATCCACATATGTTATGGAATGCAGAGGTTAGATTACAGTTTGTTACGCTGGTCTTTTTAATCTTCTTTTTAACAATAAATAGCTTTGCTCCTAGAGTTCATTCTTTTGCTCAATCTGCAGATTTTAAAATTTTTGCACCAAAAATGCTACGTCTTTTGGGAGTTGTAGTTCACCTGTTAGCTTTCTAGAGCAGAAAGATGACAATTGGACTACCACTACCAAAAGGCACTTCCGAGCTTATGCCAGTACTTTATGGACACAGCAATGTTAAGTGGGAATGACTGGCTGAGTCACTTCCTGGTCTAGCCTGAGGTGTAAAAGTTGAAAATCCAGGGGACATGACGCAAATGAAGAAACTTCAAAAGGAGAATATATAGATTATTTTATTTTATTCTTTATTTTTGCATATTATTTATATAATGCATGAAAAAAGAGTGGGTCAACCTAGTTTGGAGTATCCGTTTACTAGTTAGATATGAGAATTGACAGGCCCGCATTAAAGCAGAAACAAACTTAAGAAACTGTAGTGCTATTTAAATAATACCAGCTTTTACCTGAGATGAAAAGAGATAAATATTTTCAGGATTCTGCTACTGCTTACACGGTCACTATTTCGGTTTCATTTCTCCAGCTTTTCATTTGTCAATAAAGCTTCTAAAAGCTGCCAATTAAAGTGGAGTTCATTTTCCCCCAGCCTGTCACCCAGACTTGGCTTTCTGGGTCCACTGCGCCCCCTTTTGGAACTAAAACCTCGGCACCCTAAAAGGTTAGTAAGTAATAACCGTCAGCCCCAGTGATGACCATCTCTTAGGAGAAGTGTTAGTGGTAGCTAGCCGAGGGTCTGCATCTAGCAGCAGGAGATCTGATATTTCACCGATCACCTGCCAAGGCTACCTGAATGCTAGTGGGAATAACACCCCAACAAGTTAAATTAACAATCAGACCGCTGTGAGGACAGGATGTTACTTACATGGTTGGCAATATAAACTTGGATCCGTTTCTTTGGATACTGCAAGTTATTGAGTCTCTTAAAGAATTCAGAGACAAATGGAGTTGGTTGTTCTATGAAGACACCAATCACTACCAAAGGGAAATACTCTTCGTTCTGTGAAAGTAAAGGAGACTTAATTCATGTTAAACAAAGCCTGTAGGACCCAAAAACTGAAAGGTCAGACTGTGCACACTCTTCAGGCAAAACAAACTTCTAGATCTCTTTAACCTCCCATTGTTAAACACACTCTGGAAAGGCTGTACAAAGCAATGAGAGCACATCTGGTGCAGTATCACGTTTGGCCACTGTGGTGCAGCAGCATGCGCTTTTAGACCCTTGGTCTATTAGGGATAACAAGCTTTAAAAGGTGCCTTTACACAGCAAGGATTTCAAGGAGTTGTAGTTGAGAGATCAGCTTTCTAAAGGCAAAAGCTGACAACTAAACGAAAACTCCACAAAACCCCTGCTCTGTACTGCTGTGTAGAGAGTGATGGCATATAGTAATAATAATATGCTCAGCACCGGTATTGTACAGCGCTATGGAATATATAAATAATAATAATAAAATGCTACGGGAGCATCCTGCCATAGACAGGGGTAACTGCAGTAAAGCCTAGGGATGGTAATTTTAATCAAAATTCATGGTATTGTTATTATTTTTTTATTTTCATACACATGTGAATAATCCATGTTTGACACATCTAGTGGAAGTTAGTTGCCATTTCTCTGAAAGATAATTCACCTTAATTCCTTGAAGGCTGCGCAATCCCTCGTCACACACAGTGCAGCCAGTTTCAAAGGTCCAGCTCCGGGGAATGTAGTTTCCAAGATAATTTAGTTGAAGCTGTGTGGTAGACAGATACAATATTAGTAAGCGCCCCAGGGACTCAAACTCCGTTAGTAAATGAAACAAATGGTTATTTCTTTTCCGACCTCACAATTAAGAGACCCCTCTTTTAATGTCCATGTTGATTTATTACAGATCTGCATTTACTGTGACGTAAGTGGCATTTCAGTTCAGTCACGCCTCACATACAAACAATATATAAGGTTTTAAATGCAACTCTAACTGAATGTGACATCACAAATTAACATTTTTGCCACATGGAGAGAGACACAAACACACAAAATGAAGCGTGGATGCAATAAAGTGACAGGGAAGTGTGTCCATTTTTGGCAGCTGTACAAGTTCATTAGAAACATGTTGAACCCCATTATTATGATTTATGAAACGCTAACACATTCCGCAGCGCTGGAATCTGAAATCAGACAGATTGTAGCTATTTACTAACCTTGGTTGCCTTGTTCCCATGGATTAAAACAGGAAGAGTGTTATACGCAAGATTCCTAGCTCGGACTCTGCCATTTTCAAATTTTAGTACTACATCCCCTGTAAGTAAAAGCAATATCCGTGGATTAAAAATGGCAAAGTCCAATAATGTACATCAACAGGACGCTGAACGGTTATAAGACATTGATCATGACATTCCATTAAGAAGCAGGAGTCTGTAAACTACATTACCCACAATGCCTTTCCAGCTAGCAAACATTGTATCAACCATAATAAATGGTGTATGAAAAGAAGTAACATCCAAATAGTATGTGTTATAATCTACACATGTACTTTTAGGGACACTATAGTCACCAGAACAACTACAGTTTATTGTATAGTACACAGCTTATTGTATAGTACACAGCTTATTGTATAGTACACAGCTTATTGTACAGTACACAGCTTATTGTATTTGTTCTGGTGAGTATAATCATACCCTTCAGGCTTTTTGCAGTAAACACTGTCTTTTTAAATTAATTGCAATGTTTACATTACATCCTAGTGAACCCTCCACTGGCCACTCCCCAGATGGCTACTAGAGGTGATTCCTGGGGCAGTGCTGCACAGTGTGGCTGACATTCAGTGTCTCCACCCTTTGCATGCAGACACTGAACTTTCCTCATTGATTCAATTCATCTCTAGGGTCAGGAATACATTTTTGTTTTTCTGACCCTATAGTGTTCCTTTAAAACCCACTTTTATCAATTTCGTACTCACCCACAGATCCGTGGAGATTTTGGAAGATTCGACATCTGTGATCGAGTGTAATGTTAATCTTCTCCTTCATACAAAAAACACAAAATAATATATAAATCACTTGCTATTTCAATTCTGCAACATTAAGCATGTATTTACTAAACAGGGAAGTGCAGTGAATTGGAAAACTCTTGTAATAAATTTAGGCCAAAGTAGACAAGCTGGGAAAAGAGTCTAGCTGTTTCAGCCTGAATTCCCCAAATTCCTGTTTCAATTCACCACGTCACTGTGAAGTCATTTAAACCTCGTTGAAGGACAGTTTCATATATTTCCTTAAGGTGTGTTCATTTTCCAGTTTAGAACTACGTCTGCTGAATGCACAAGAAAGTCTTAAAACATGTGTATAGAAAGGACAAACATTTTCCTGACTGGCTATGTATGTTATCGTTTTGCAGATCATTTTATGTAGGAGCATTCTGATAGTTTCCATGGTGGCAGCTCCAATTTTAGAATTTGCTCCAGAATCATATTTGATCCTCACTGTATTTTTTTTATCCTTACCCGTTTCACTGGATCTAGGAAGAGATTGGAAAAAAATAACTGGCTGCTGGCGTCATCTGCGTCATCCCAGTCTGCTAAAAGTTTGTGTAGATAATTTGCTGTGCCTATAAATGCTGCAGAGGGGAAAACAGAAAAATCACATACATAGTGTAAAAAGACAATATTAAAATAATTAAATAAAAAAATTAAAAAAATACAGAAGCAAAAACTGATTGTTGTAATTTCTTAGTGGATTTAAAAAGAGGAAGGCCTTTATCACTATACCCCACTCCCTCTAGCATGGAAGCTCACTGAGCAGGCCCTCAATCCCTCTGTTACTGTGTCACTATACCCCACTCCCTCTAGCATGGAAGCTCACTGAGCAGGCCCTCAATCCCTCTGTTACTGTCACTATACCCCGCTCCCTCTAGCATGTAACCTCACTGAGCAGGGCCTCAATCCCTCTGTTACTGTGTCACTATACCCCACTCCCTCTAACATGTAAACTCACTGAGCAGGCCCTCAATCCTCTGTTAATGTGTCACTATACCCCACTCCCCAAACCCACTGGGAGTGGCCTCAACTCTGTTAACAGTCACTATACCCCACTCCCTCTAACACATGTGTAAACCACTGAGCAGGCCCTCAATCCCTCTGTTACTGTCACTATACCCCGCTCCCTCTAGCATGTAACCTCACTGAGCAGGGCCTCAATCCCTCTGTTACTGTGTCACTATACCCCACTCCCTCTAACATGTAAACTCACTGAGCAGGCCCTCAATCCCTCTGTTACTGTGTCACTGTACCCCACTCCCTCTAGCATGTAAACTCACTGAGCAGGCCCTCAATCCCTCTGTTACTGTGTCACTATACCCCACTCCCTCTAACATGTAAACTCACTGAGCAGGCCCTCAATCCCTCTGTTACTGTCACTATACCCCCACTCCCTCTAACATGTAAACTCACTGAGCAGGACCCTCAATCCCTCTGTTACTGTGTCACTATACCCCACTCCCTCTAACATGTAAACTCACTGAGCAGGACCCTCAATCCCTCTGTTACTGTGTCACTATACCCCACTCCCTCTAACATGTAAACTCACTGAGCAGTAGGGCCCCTCGGATCCCTCTGTTACTGTCACTATACCCCACTCCCCTCTAACATGTAACCACTGAGCAGGGCCTCGATCCCTCTGTTACTGCTCACTATACCCCACCCCTTTAACATGTAAGCTCTCACTGGAGCAGGCTCCTCAATCCCTCTGTTACTGTGTCACTATACCCCACTCCCAACATGTAAACTCACTGAGCAGGCCCCTCAATCCCTCTGTTACTGTGTCACTATACCACTCCCAACATGTAAACTCACTGAGCAGGGCCTCAATCCCTCTGTTACTGTCACTATACCCCACTCCTCTAACATGTAAACTCACTGAGCAGGCCCTAAATCCCTCTGTTACTGTGCCACTATACCCCACTCCCTCTAACATGTAAACTCACTGAGCAGGCCCTCAATCCCTCTGTTACTGTGTCACTATACCCCACTCCCTCTAGCATGAAAACTCACTGAGCAGGCCCTCAATCTCTCTGTTACTGTCACTATACCCCACTCCCTCTAACATGTAAATTCACTGAGCAGGCCCTCAATCCCTCTGTTACTGTGTGTCACTATACCCCACTTCCTCTAACATGTAAACTCACTGAGCAGGGCCCTCAATCCCTCTGTTACTGTGTCACTATACCCCACTCCCTCTAACATGCAAACTCACTGAGCAGGGCCTCAATCCCTCTGTTACTGTGTCACTATACCCCACTCCCTCTAACATGTAAACTCACTGAGCAGGGCCCTCAATCCTCTGTTACTGTGTCACTATACCCCACTCCCTCTAACATGTAAACTCACTGAGCAGGGCCCTCAATCCCTCTGTTACTGTGTCACTATACCCCACTCCCTCTAACATGTAAACTCACTGAGCAGGCCCTCAATCCCTCTGTTACTGTGTCACTATACCCCACTCCCTCTAACATGTAAACTCACTGAGCAGGCCCTCAATCCCTCTGTTACTGTGTCACTATACCCCACTCCCTCTAACATGTAAACTCACTGAGCAGGCCCTCAATCCCTCTGTTACTGTCACTATACCCCACTCCCTCTAACATGTAAACTCACTGAGCAGGGCCCTCAATCCCTCTGTTACTGTGTCACTATACCCCACTCCATCTAACATGTAAACTCACTGAGCAGGCCCTCAATCCCTCTGTTAATGTGTCACTATACCCCACTCCCTCTAACATGTAAACTCACTGAGCAGGCCCTCAATCCCTCTGTTACTGTGTCACTATACCCCACTCCCTCTAACATGTAAACTCACTGAGCATGCCCTCAATCCCTCTGTTACTGTGTCACTATACCCCACTCCCTCTAATATGAAAACTCACTGAGCAGGCCCTCAACCCCTCTGTTCCTGTGTCACTATACCCCACTCCTCTAACATGTAACTCACCATAGGCCTCATCCTCTTGTTACTGCTCACTATACCCCACTCCCTCTAACATGTAAACCTACCTGAGCAGGGCCTCAATCCCTCTGTTACTGTGTCACTATACCCCACTCTCTCTAACATGTAAACTCATTGAGCAGGGCCCTCAATCCCTCTGTTACTGTGTCACTATACCTCACTCCCTCTAACATGTAAACTCACTGAGCAGGCCCTCAATCCCTCTGTTACTGTGTCACTATACCCCACTCCCACTAACATGTAAACTCACTGAGCAGGCCCTCAATCCCTCTGTTACTGTGTCATTATACCCCACTCACTCTAACATGTAAACTCACTGAGCAGGCCCTCAATCCCTCTGTTACTGTGTCACTATACCCCACTCCCTCTAACATGTAAACTCACTGAGCAGGCCCTCAATCCCTCTGTTAATGTGTCACTATACCCCACTCCCTCTAACATGTAAACTCACTGAGCAGGCCCTCAATCCCTCTGTTACTGTGTCACTATACCCCACTCCCTCTAACATGTAAACTCACTGAGCAGGGCCCCCAATCCCTCTGTTACTGTGTCACTATACCCCTCTCCCTCTAACATGTAAACTCACTGAGCAGGGCCCTCAATCCCTCTGTTACTGTGTCACTATACCCCTCTCCCTCTAACATGTAAACTCACTGAGCAGTGCCCTCAATCCCTCTGTTACTGTGTCACTATACCCCACTCCCTCTAACATGTAAACTCACTGAGCAGGCCCTCAATCCTTCTGTTACTGTAAGCAAGTCACTATACCCCACTCCCTCTAACGTAAACTCACTGAGCAGGCCTCAACTCCTCTGTTACTGTGTCACTATACCCCACTCCCTCTAACATGTAAACTCACTGAGCAGGCCCTCAATCCCTCTGTTACTGTGTCACTATACCCCACTCCCACCAACATGTAAACTCACTGAGCAGGGCCCTCAATCCCTCTGTTACTGTGTCACTATACCCCACTCCCTCTAACATGTAAACTCACTGAGCAGGGCCCCTCAATCCCTCTGTTACTGTGTCACTATACCCCGCTCCCTCTAGCATGTAAACTCACTGAGCAGGGCCCTCAATCCCTCTGTTACTGTGTCACTATACCCCACTCCCTCTAACATGTAAACTCACTGAGCAGGCCCTCAATCCCTCTGTTACTGTGTCACTATACCCCACTCCCTCTAACATGTAACCTCACTGAGCAGGTCCTCAATCCCTCTGTTACTGTGTCATTATACCCCACTCCCTCTAACATGTAAACTCACTGAGCAGGGCCCTCAATCCCTCTGTTACTGTCACTATATCCCACTCCCTCTAACATGTAAGCTCACTGAGCAGGCTCCCCACCTCTGTTACTGTGTCACTACACCCCACTCCCTCTACCACATGTAAATCACCTGAGCAGGGCCCTCAATCCCTCTGTTACTGTGTGTCACTATACCCCACCTCTAACATGTAAAACTTCTTACTGAGCAGGCCTCAACTCCTCTGCTACTAAAAGTCACTATACCCCACTCCCTCTAACATGTAAACTCACTGAGCAGGGCCCTCAATCCCTCTGTTACTGTGTCACTATACCCCCACTCCCTCTAGCATGTAAACTCACTGAGCAGGCCCTCAATCCCTCTGTTACTGTGTCACTATACCCCACTCCCTCTAACATGTAAACTCACTGAGCAGGGCCTCAATCCCTCTGCTACTGTGTCACTATACCCCACTCCCTCTAACATGTAAACTCACTGAGCAGGCCCTCAATCCCTCTGTTACTGTGTCACTATACCCCACCTCTAACATGTAAACTCACTGGAGCAGGCCCCTCAATCCTCTGTTACTGTGTCACTATACCCCACTCCCTCTAACATGTAAGCTCACTGAGCAGGGCCTCAACTCTCTGTTACTGTGTCGCTATACCCCACTCCCTCTAACATGTAAACTCACTGAACAGGCCCTCAATTCCTCTGTTACTGTCTCACTATACCCCACTCCCTCTAACATGTAAACTCACTGAGCAGGGCCCCCAATCCCTCTGTTACTGTGTCACTATACCCCACTCCCTCTAACATGTAACCTCACTGAGCAGGGCCCTTAATCCCTCTGTTACTGTGTCACTATACCCCACTCCCTCTAACATGTAAACTCACTGAGCAGGCCTCTCAATCCCTCTGTTACTGTCACTATACCCCACTCCCTCTAACATGTAAACTCACTGAGCAGGGCCCTCTGATGTCTGTTAGTCACCACATTGTACGGTGCTATGGAAAGTCGGTGCTTTATAAATAATAATATCAGGTGTATAGTTATGTGTTTGTTCAACACTCCCAAAGGCAATAAAAACTAAATCAGGAAAAAATAAACATCATCTTCTGGTCTGAACACAAGATCTGTAAATCTGATGCCGCTGACCACAGATTTCGGGATAAATGACAGGTGTTGGGAAGGCAATGATACTCAACCCAATCTGGACTTCAGATATACAAAACAATGGGCACACAGCCAGAACATCCATTTCTTAATAGTTTTGCTGCTTTAAAGACAATAAACTTCCCTTAATGTGTATTTTACAAACATTTCGGTCTTTCCAGCAGTGCCACAATAAAGAAATGAATGCTCAGGGTGTGTCCCTGACAAACAGAATCAATAAATAATTCTGTTTTCACACACTTATTGACAAAATGAACGGTTAAACATACCTCCAGATCCCAGGAAACGTTTGCCCTCCTGGACCGAGGGATATTTTGTCTCAAGACGTCTATCAGGGTAAACCACGCTTTCTGCCGAGAAAACCACTTTACTTTTGGCTTGCTTAAATTTCTTAATCAGTTCTGCAGGGCCGGATGCAAAGATTGTGTCGTAACTAAAATAAACAAAATAAATGCAGGTTTGAAGGGGAAAAAAAACAAACAACAAACATTATCTCATAAAGCACAGTTACTAAAACAAACAGGATATAACCCACCTCAAACCACTCGATGTCCGGCTATCTTATATCCAGAACAGTTAGTGACAATTAGATTTCATTAGACATCCTAACGTTCAGTGCGATTTTTGAGCAAAATTTCACTTAAAATTAATATAATAACCCATTCATTAAGTTTTTAAAGGAAATAGAGTTTTTTTTAATTAAGTATATATCAAAAATTGTGTGGTTTTTGTTTGTTTTTTTTTTAAACCTCATCCCTACAGTGAGTATTTTCCAAGATCCTTGAGCTATGTACATGCACCATGAATCAGACAGAATTTGAAAATCAACACTTAGTCTGTATGACCTTCCCTGCTTGGCTCCCAGCACAGAAACAGGGACGACCACAGAGACTCACTGTTCGTTTTCAAACTCTGTCTGATCGAAGGTGCATGTATTTGGCTGTAGGATCCTGTCATAAACTACAGGACACGTTTTTCTCATTTCATTACATATACTTCTTTTATTTTAAAAATCCCTTTCAATACTTGATGAAAGGATCATTATATTAAAAAACAGTTTTGAAGTAACAGTTATCCTTTATATTGACGTGGACACCTGAGCGTTTCTTTCCATAATTCTGTTTAAAACAATAATGCAAATAGATTAATATTATTTTCACGTTACTAGAAGTGCTCTGGAATTACCATGTAATAACTGTCTGTGTGTTTATTTAGTTGAATAAGTTATATATATATATACAAAGCAAAAAATGAGAGCACTCCATGGATTTGGTAAATCAAATTACTGTATTCAAATAGCACAAATATTTTTTTTGTGCTATTTGAATACAGTAATTTGATTTACCAAATCCATGGAGTGCTCTCATTTTTTGCTTTGTTTATAGTATTTTGCACAGAGAAGCACCTGGTATGTATTATTATTTGGGAAGAGTGCCAGAAATTGTATAGTTTCTATATATATATATATATATATATATATATATATATATATATATATATATATATATATATATATATATATATATATATATATATATATATATATATATATTTCTTCTTGGGCCAAAAAATGCTCGCCACATTAATATAGGTCTATATTAATGAAAAGTACGAATACACAATCGGACGTTCTTTATAAAAAATATGCATTTATTCTACTTCAACAGCAAACAATAATATACTTAACAGATGGTATTTCTTAACGACGTTACAGAGAATCGTCTTTGTATCAGCAACTCAGGACATCAGAGAGGAGAGCAAAACAGATTGTAGAAGGAAAAGAGCGTTGTCCTTTGGCCTCTGCCCTATATAGCCCAAATTACATCATAACTTTTAGTTTAGACTCTGGGATATAAGGAAATTCCCCATATAAAGACCACCCCAAATCTCTTATACAGCAAATTCCAGAGACCTTATGGTATAGAATAGCAAACGCCATATGTTCTGTTTAACCCATTACACAGCCAAACCTTAATATGTATTTGTGCGGAACCAACCTCGCCACTGTCCACTGGAGAGGCCTGGTTGCTCGCCAGCTCCCTTTAGACTATGGTCCTGCATTTTAAACTTTTATTTTACCTGCAGAAAGGTTTATTCGTGCCTTTCTGCGGACTGTTAAAGCCATGCTACCCCACATAGCTATGCCATGGAGCCCAGCCGTATACTGAAAGACTGTATGAAAGACTTTGGCTCCATGGCGATTGAACTGTATGTAATAATGTGCGCTCAGATCTAAGCTATCTGGGGATAGGTAGAAAGTGTATGTTCTATGTGATACATGTAACAGTATGTATTTTTATGTCTTTTATTGTCCTTTGTCTGCCATGTGGCTAATCGAGTTTTGCCTCTGTCCTTGGAGATAATTGGATTACTTCCCAATTATCGCCAGGATAGAAGACTCTGTGGAACTGGTTTTGGGCAGAAAAGCCATGCTTCATTTGGTCAAATAGGACTCTCCCTTAACTTTTTAACCCCTGGATGGAATTGGCTGAATTTTTGTTATGTTTATATTTAAAGTATGCTGATTCTGAATATGTATGTTTTATGTGAATATGATGCATATTTTTAAAGTTACAGTGTATGTATAAAAAGTGTATTTTTCCTGCCTGTGATAAATTACATTAACCTATTGTGTTCAGTAATTATATCACAGGCAGAGGGGAGGATTTGAAGCGCTAGGAGCATCCTTCAACGGAGGTACCCAGTCGGGGTGCCAGGTGATCTGTTACAGTATTTGAATAGGAACATATAGAATATGCAATATTCAACATACCACTTAAAGATGTGTCTGTTCCATGTGGAGGATGCCATCTTGGAATTCTAACCCCCAATAACAGGCTGTAGAGATCATGTAATAAAACCCCCAGGGATTTCTTCCATGGGGAACATACTTCTGATATGCCTGCTTTAGCAATACCTGTCCGTGTAAAGAATAAGATCTTCTCTGTCTGCGTATTGATCGAGATCAGATTTTAGGAGCCGCACTTTCTGTCCTTCCCCTCTCCATTCTTCATTGAGTCCCAATACCTGCAGAGAGAAGATACGATAAACGTTACAGACGACACAGATATCGTGAGTGGTGTTCATTTTATTCGTTTGTCATTAAATATGAAATGATTACAATACACTGTATCCCGTGTATGTGCGCTGTACAATCTTAGACAGTGGACCCCAGCCTCACAAAACAGCTGTTAGTTGGTTTTCCCACGAGTAAAGGTTTACATATAATCTGGTATTTAAACACATTACATATATCCATAAAAGAACTTCCTTTCCATTTTACAGTTTGTCAGATTTCCACACTCTATGTTAATGGAAGTAGCAAAAAAAAAGTTAGACAATACCAGCGCTCAATTCATAGTACAGAAATCTATACATGAACATTATTAAATCCAATGCAAATAGTGAACATTATTCATATTCTATTTATTACTGGCATTTATAAAGTTCCAACATATTCCACAGTGCTGTACGCTGGGAAAAAGACAATACGGTATAAACAGACCAAAAAAAAAAAAAGGTAGAGGCCCTGCCCATGAGCTTACAATCTAAAGATTAAATTACAAATAGGTATTTGTTCATGTATTTATATATTATTGTTTGCTTATTTACAACTGTACAAGGGAACAGCAAAAGGCTAGTTTTTTTGCATGTGTGATTTAATGCATGATCTAACTTTTTTTTAATTACATTTGAGAAAGCCTTATTGGTGAAACGCGTAATGGTTATTTTATATTGTGTATTTTAGATCAATTAAAAGTTTTTAGTTACTGACTGTGTCAATTCTCTTTTTATTGTATTTTTATGCACTTTTACTAATTTTACTTTCCTGTTGTTCCTGCACTTAAAGAGATCATACCACCAACGCTTTACTAATAGAGCAGTGTTTCTGCTCTATACATGTGAGTATTATTTGAGTTACTTTTACGCAATTGAGAGCACTATTGTCACCTCTTTTTATCCTCTTTGGATCCTTGGATGACCAGACGGTGTTGACAGAAGCATTCCCTTCACATATCCCAAAAGCGAGGATTATATCGCTGTACGCCCTTCACACCAGAGCTGGCCATAGCTCTTTTAAATGTGAGTTCTTTACGTTCTATTATTTTACCCTCTGGATTTTAGACATATTGCACTACTGGCTGCTCCTTGTTTTTCATATATGCGAATACCCTGAGACACCAGGACGCACCCACTTCTACTGAAAAGTCTACCCATCTATATACCATCAAGCATTGTTGCTCTTGTGAGACCCTTTTGGACTATTTTACGTTAATTTATTTATTATTTTTCGCTGGCGCAGCCCTACCCCATTTCTCTGTATTTTACCATTTGTTGAAGGATCTGAGGGGTCTCCTTCGTTTGGGTAGCTGCCTATCTTCGTATTGTTTGTTTCTGTATTTTATTATCTAACTTCCTGCATTAAAGGATAAAGTTACACTGCATTCTACGATGAGCCTTTAACAAGCACAGAAGGCAGTACTCTACAATCACTGGATTCCAACCAACAGTTACATAGAAAGTAGAACCTATCTCTGGATAATTACTGGGTACAGAGTAAAATTCCTGGCTCCAGATGGCTCCAGATTGGGATTTGCTCTGACATGCCTGCACCTTATATTAGTTTCTGGTAATTGTGAATGGGTCCGCCCATCCCCCTGCCTAGCCTGGTCTCCTCTACAGTTACTTATGAATGTTAAATTCGAGGCTAGCGTTAGGTTTGGTGACTGGGTGAAACTATCTCCCATTCACTCACCTTCACTTTGTAGTTAAAACACTGCGCCGACCTTTGAAATCGCTTCAGGCCATCCGAGTCCTCTGTGGCTACAGTCAGGATCAAAAGGTTTTCTGTAGCAGGAAAAAAATGTTCTTTGTTATTCTATAAAAAAGGCAATAAAGAATCTAAGCCATGGGAGATTATACAGCGGACGGTGACTGGGATTTAGCAAAGGTTTATATTTCTATATGTGTCAGACATGTGCGTAGACTTGGAGGCTAGCTGAGCATCTTGGGTACTGTAGTTAATAAAAAAATATGCAGTGATAGTCCAAATATACAAATATCGGCTGCCTGTAACTCGATGATAAACCATTTTATTAATCAATAGACACATTGTATTATTAGATACATAGCATCAGGCATGTTACCATGGATACAGTGTAATAAATGGATGTCAGATAAATTCAGTAATATAGTCATGTGATATAAGGCCGGTTATGTTAGGTGGACACTGTCACCATGCTGACATACATAAATTAGCATTTGGGGCTAGACGCTAAGCATCTAGGGAAATGTAGTTTTCAAACATCTGGAGACGCAAATCAGTGCTTTAAAGCATTTAAATCAGGCTTCCCCAAACTCCAGCCCTCCAGATGTTGCTGAACTACAACTCCCATGATTATCAGCCTATCTATTTCATTCATAGAACCATGGGAGTTGTAGTTCAGCAACATCTGGAGGGCCAGAGTTTGGGGAAGCCTGATTTCAATGACCGATTAATGCCTTGCTTGTTAAGCTATGAAGAACAGGGGCAAGTGTCTCACTGCACGGGGTATTATATGAATTCAGAGTCTACGCTCAGCCCAGGTCACTCCTTAGAAACATCCTCCAAGGTCTCTGGAGTCTGAATCCCTTAGACAGACACATTCCTAGCGAACTGTATTCCTCATGAATGGTTCCATTTTCTGGCAAACAATCCGAGTACTTTTTAACCCAGGAAAGCCTACAGGCTGTCTGTTTATCTTTTCCCGTTCATTCTGCGGGACAGGTTATTTTAAGTTTTATTAATACAGGTTCTTCATGATCTCGCAGACACAAAATTATTCCTGCAGCACATGTGTGATATATAAAAAAATGTTAAAATAATAATTGACTCTTTGCTTCATAGACACAAGTTGGATTTAATATTCACAGTGTGTTTCTCCATTAATCAGAGAAAGAGGTCTCAATATAAATTATTATATATTCATGTATTTTTTTACCAAAACAGTTCAGTTTGGTTTCATACCTCTCTGGTTCTGTTGGGAACCAGCGATGCTACAGGCAATGAATAAAACCAAAAAGTTGCATAAAATTGACATTGCTGATGTTGAAGTGTGAACTTTTGGCTTAGCGTATCAAGTTTCAAACCATTCGTAAAAGCTTTGGCAGCCTACCCTGGCACCATGCCCACCGTAACATGCTGTAGTGGTGATTACTTAAAATGGCCACCAGTTTACAATTCCCTTATTCTTACAATTCTTTGCTTAGTTGCATACAGACAGCGGAACAGCAAATTCTACACATGTACCTGCATTCATTCATTCAGGGCTATATAACGTGAGATATAGCTTTACAGTTACAGTGCTCGCTCCTAAAATGTCAATGATCAGTAACGGAAATGATACCTTACCATATCCGAGGAGGTAGACATGGCGATATCTATACAGTAAGTTATACAGGGAGGTACACAGGGCGATATCTATACAGTAAGTTATACGGGGAGGTAGACAACATGATATCTATACAGTAAGTTATACGGGGAGGTACACAGGACGATATCTATACAGTAAGTTATACAGGGAGGTACACAGGGCGATATCTATACAGTAAGTTATACAGGGAGGTAGACAGGGCGATATCTATACAGTAAGTTATACAGGGAGGTAGACAGGGCGATATCTATACAGTAAGTTATACAGGGAGGTATACAGGGCGATATCTATTCAGTAAGTTATACAGGGAGGTAGACAGGGCGATATCTATACAGTAAGTTATACAGGGAGGTAGACAGGACGATATCTATACAGTAAGTTATACGGGGAGGTAGACAACATGATATCTATACAGTAAGTTATACAGGGAGGTACACAGGGCGATATCTATACAGTAAGTTATACGGGGAGGTACACAGGGCGATATATATACAGTAAGTTATACAGGGAGGTACACAGGGCGATATCTGTACAGTAAGTTATACGGGGAGGTAGACAGGGCGATATCTATACAGTAAGTTATACAGGGAGGTACACAGGGCGATATCTATACAGTAAGTTATACGGGGAGGTAGACAACATGATATCTATACAGTAAGTTATACGGGGAGGTACACAGGGCGATATCTATACAGTAAGTTATACGGGGAGGTAGACAGGGCGATATCTGTACAGTAAGTTATACAGGGAGGTACACAGGGCGATATCTATACAGTAAGTTATACAGGGAGGTACACAGGGCGATATCTATACAGTAAGTTATACAGGGAGGTAGACAGGGCGATATCTATACAGTAAGTTATACGGGGAGGTAGACAGGGCGATATCTGTACAGTAAGTTATACAGGGAGGTACACAGGGCGATATCTATACAGTAAGTTATACAGGGAGGTACACAGGGCGATATCTATACAGTAAGTTATACGGGGAGGTAGACAGGGCGATATCTATACAGTAAGTTATACAGGGAGGTAGACAGGACGATATCTATACAGTAAGTTATACAGGGAGGTAGACAACATGATATCTATACAGTAAGTTATACGGGGAGGTACACAGGGCGATATCTATACAGTAAGTTATAATGATAGATGTTTATATCTATACAGTAAGCTATACAGGTGCAGTAGACAACATGAATTCACAGTAAGTTATACGGGGAGGTAGACAACATGATATCTATACAGTAAGTTATACAGGGAGGTACACAGGGCGATATCTATACAGTAAGTTATACAGGGAGGTACACAGGGCGATATCTATACAGTAAGTTATACGGGGAGGTAGACAGGGCGATATCTATACAGTACGTTATACGGGGAGGTAGACAGGACGATATCTATACAGTACGTTATACAGGGAGGTAGACAGGGTGATATCTGTACAGTAAGTTATACAGGGAGGTAGGCAGGGCGATATCTGTACAGTAAGTTATACAGGGAGGTACACAGGGCGATATATATACAGTAAGTTATACAGGGAGGTAGACAGGGCGATATCTATACAGTAAGTTATACAGGGAGGTAAACAGGACGATATCTATACAGTAAGTTATACGGGGAGGTACACAGGACGATATCTATACAGTAAGTTATACGGGGAGGTAGACAGGGCGATATCTGTACAGTAAGTTATACGGGGAGGTAGACAGGACGATATCTATACAGTAAGTTATACGGGGAGGTACACAGGGCGATATCTATACAGTAAGTTATACAGGGAGGTACACAGGACGATATCTATACAGTAAGTTATACGGGGAGGTAGACAGGGCGATATCTATACAGTAAGTTATACGGGGAGGTAGACAGGGCGATATCTATACAGTAAGTTATACAGGGAGGTAGACAGGGCGATATCTATACAGTAAGTTATACAGGGAGGTACACAGGGCGATATCTATACAGTAAATTATACAGGGAGGTACACAGGGTGATATCTGTACAGTAAGTTATACAGGGAGGTAGACAGGGCGATATCTGTACAGTAAGTTATACAGGGAGGTAGACAGGGCGATATATATACAGTAAGTTATACGGGGAGGTACACAGGGCGATATCTATACAGTAAGTTACACGGGGAGGTACACAGGGCGATATATATACAGTAAGTTATACAGGGAGGTAGACAGGGCGATATCTATACAGTAAGTTATACGGGGAGGTAAACAGGGCGATATCTATACAGTAAGTTATACAGGGAGGTACACAGGGTGATATCTGTACAGTAAGTTATACAGGGAGGTAGACAGGGCGATATATATACAGTAAGTTATACGGGGAGGTACACAGGGCGATATATATACAGTAAGTTATACGGGGAGGTACACAGGGCGATATCTATACAGTAAGTTATACGGGGAGGTACACAGGGCGATATCTATACAGTAAGTTATACAGGGAGGTACACAGGGTGATATCTGTACAGTAAGTTATACAGGGAGGTAGACAGGGCGATATATATACAGTAAGTTATACGGGGAGGTACACAGGGCGATATCTATACAGTAAGTTATACGGGGAGGTAGACAGGGCGATATCAATACAGTAAGTTATACGGGGAGGTACACAGGGCGATATATATACAGTAAGTTATACGGGGAGGTAGACAGGGCTTATATCTTATACAGTAAGTTATAATGGAGTACATTAGGCTTATATCTATACAGTAAGTTATAATGGGAGGTACACAGGCTTATTATCTATACAGTAAGTTATACAGGGAGGTACACAGGGCAATATCTATACAGTAAGTTATACGGGGAGGTAGACAACATGATATCTATACAGTAAGTTATACAGGGAGGTACACAGGGCGATATCTATACAGTAAGTTATACGGGGAGGTAGACAGGGCGATATCTATACAGTAAGTTATACGGGGAGGTAGACAGGGCGATATCTATACAGTAAGTTATACAGGGAGGTAGAAAGGACGATATCTATACAGTAAGTTATACAGGGAGGTAGACAGGGCGATATATATACAGTAAGTTATACGGGGAGGTAGACAGGGAGATATCTATACAGTAAGTTATACAGGGAGGTAGACAGGAAGATATCTATACAGTAAGTTATACAGGGAGGTAGACAGGGTGATATCTATACAGTAAGTTATACGGGGAGGTACACAGAATTAATATCTGATATATAACAGGACAGGTTGGGGGTACACAGGATTACTATATAACAGGACAGGTTGCCAGTTGGGGGGTACACAGGATTTCTATATAACAGGACAGGTTGCCAGTTGGGGGGTACACAGGATTACTATATAACAGGACAGGTTGCCAGTTGGGGGTACACAGGATTACTATATAACAGGACAGGTTTGGGGGTACACAGGATTACTATATAACAGGACAGGTTTGGGGGTACACAGGATTACTATATAACAGGACAGGTCTGGGGGTACACAGGATTACTATATAACAGGACAGGCTGCCAGTTTGAGGGTACACAGGATTAGTATATAACAGGACAGGTTTGGGGGTACACAGGATTACTATATAACAGGACAGGTTTGGGGGTACACAGGATTACTATATAACAGGACAGGTTTGGGGGTACACAGGATTAGTATATAACAGGACAGGTTGGGGGGTACACAGGATTAGTATATAACAGGACAGGTTGGGGGGTACACAGGATTACTATATAACAGGACAGGTTGCCAGTTTGGGGGTACACAGGATTACTATATAACAGGACACGTTTGGGGGTACACAGGATTACTATATAACAGGACAGGTTGCCAGTTTGGGGGTACACAGGATTACTATATAACAGGACAGGTTGGAGGGTACACAGGATTACTATATAACAGGACAGGTTTGGGGGTACACAGGATTACTATATAACAGGACAGGTTTGGGGGTACACAGGATTACTATATAACAGGACAGATTTGGGGGTACACAGGATTACTATATAACAGGACAGGTTTGGGGGTACACAGGATTACTATATAACAGGACAGGTTTGGGGGTACACAGGATTACTATATAACAGGACAGGTTTGGGGGTACACAGGATTACTATATAACAGGACAGGTTTGGGGGTACACAGGATTACTATATAACAGGACAGGTCTGGGGGTACACAGGATTACTATATAACAGGACAGGCTGCCAGTTTGAGGGTACACAGGATTAGTATATAACAGGACAGGTTTGGGGGTACACAGGATTACTATATAACAGGACAGGTTTGGGGGTACACAGGATTACTATATAACAGGACAGGTTTGGGGGTACACAGGATTACTATATAACAGGACAGGTTTGGGGGTACACAGGATTACTATATAACAGGACAGGTTTGGGGGTACACAGGATTACTATATAACAGGACAGGTTTGGGGGTACACAGGATTACTATATAACAGGACAGGTTGGGGGGTACACAGGATTAGTATATAACAGGACAGGTTGGGGGTACACAGGATTACTATATAACAGGACAGGTTTGGGGGTACACAGGATTACTATATAACAGGACAGGTTTGGGGGTACACAGGATTACTATATAACAGGACAGGTTTGGGGGTACACAGGATTACTATATAACAGGACAGGTTTGGGGGTACACAGGATTACTATATAACAGGACAGGTTTGGGGGTACACAGGATTACTATATAACAGGACAGGTTTGGGGGTACACAGGATTACTATATAACAGGACAGGTTTGGGGGTACACAGGATTACTATATAACAGGACAGGTTTGGGGGTACACAGGATTACTATATAACAGGACAGGTTTGGGGGTACACAGGATTACTATATAACAGGACAGGTTTGGGGGTACACAGGATTACTATATAACAGGACAGGTTTGGGGGTACACAGGATTACTATATAACAGGACAGGTTTGGGGGTACACAGGATTAGTATATAACAGGACAGGTTTGGGGGTACACAGGATTAGTATATAACAGGACAGGTTTGGGGGTACACAGGATTAGTATATAACAGGACAGGTTTGGGGGTACACAGGATTACTATATAACAGGACAGGTTTGGGGGTACACAGGATTAGTATATAACAGGACAGGTTTGGGGGTACACAGGATTAAGGACAGGCTGCCAGTTTGGGGGGGATGCCCAGGCTGCAGTACTCACCCTCTATGTCAGAGCAGTGGGCCCCTGGGGGCATGCTGGGTAGGAGCCCCAGGAGCAGCAGGAGTTGGATAATTCCAGCCATAGCACTAACAGCACTGGATCACATAGGATACCTAGAGCCTTGCCACGCAGTGACCACGCCCCCTCCTCCCACTGACTCCTCCCCAGTAACCCCTTCACTGCCACACTGAGGGACCAGGCTGGGAGGGAAACCCTGCTGCTGGAGTATTATCTGTTACTCTCTAATTATTAATATTATTATTATTATTTTATTATTTATATAGCGCCAGCAATAATAAACATAGACTGGGCCGGCCCCCAGATATATTAATATTATTATTATTATTTTATTATTTATATAGCGCCAGCAATAATAAACATAGACTGGGCCGGCCCCCAGATATAGTAATATTATTATTATTGTTTTATTATTTATATAGCGCCAGCAAATTCCATATCACAATAATAAACATAGACTGGGCCGGCCCCCAGATATAGTAATATTATTATTATTATTTTATTATTTATATAGCGCCAGCAAATTCCGTATCACAATAATAAACATAGACTGGGCCGGCCCCCAGATATATCCCTGAATGGAGATTTATTAACCCTATCCATGCCACAAGCATGCACTCATGATGGGAGGGGGCAATTCTGAAGCAGATGCCAGAATTAGTGCATTAGTACAACTCCCATGATTCTCAGCCTATCTGTTTCATTCATAGAATCATGGAAGTTGTATTTCAGCAACATCTGGAGGGCTGGAGTTTGGGGAAGCCTGCTGCAGTGTAATGCATTGCTGTCCATGCACCAAGCTTCAGTATAATAAATTGCTGCAGATTAATGCGTTGCTGCCCACGCCAGGAGCTGCA